ATCTCATGCTCAAAGTTTACTGATTGATTATCATTAGTACCGTTTCTGTTGTTCTGGTGGGGTTCCAGAGTGATCTTCTAAATATCTAATTGCCGTTTCTGTTGTTCTGGTGGGGTTCCAGAGTGATCTTCCGAACATCTAATTGCCGTTTCTGTTGTTCTAGTGGGGTTCCAGAGTGATCTTCTGAACATCTAATTGCCGTTTCTGTTGTTCTAGTGGGGTTCCAGAGTGATCTTCTAAATATCTAATTGTCGTTTCTGTTGTTCTGGTGGGGTTCCAGAGTGATTTTCTAAACTTTTAGTTGCTGTTTCTATTGTTCTGGTGGTATTACAGAGTGACTTTATTAACTTATAGTTCAGGACCTTAGATCATTCTATTATTACTGGAAGTCACAGATGTAGTGTCCATGTTGGACAAAACAGTTCCCACTCGGCTGTTTTTGATATGGCTGGTATCCTCTAGTTTAATACTGCTGCTTTTAGTTTTTAGCACAAGGTGGGGTGTTCCTACAGTGTTAATGCTGAATGCTTTCTCTGTAAATCTACGCTGTATATGAGTTTGATTAACCCTCATATTATCGACTTGTTTTTATACTATTCACTACTGGTCTAACCTACATGTTACGTCATATTGAGTAGTTTTGTGATTTTACCTGTTGTAAGTTTGAGTATAGGCAACTGTCTCCCCCCCCCCCAAAGTGTGACATCCCTGATTTTATATATATATATATAATATACATGGGACCCCAGATGTAATTAGTGGAATTAATTACAATATTGATGCCATTTTTTGTTCACAGTTCTTATTTTAATCATATATTATCAGGAATTCTGTAACAACAGTTCCGTGGCCCCACAAGCAGTTTGGTGGATAAATAGATTAGAAAAATGTATTTAAAAACTTGATGGGGTTCTTTGACTCCTGTGGGTAACTCTAGGATTAATTCTTCTAAATATTGAAGCTTCTTGTGACGTGGATAAAGTATGTAAAGTAAGTTTTGGATAAAGTTCTTGACTACTAGCCAATACAGATACGGGTTCTCTGATTGTTCAGTTTGTTAGCTGTTCCTGCAACTTGCCAGCTCTGTTGGTGGGTGTCTTTATGGGGTCTCCCACGGCAATTATCTGTATTTTAGCTGTACTGTCACCCGTAGTTTCTTGAACAAATTTAAGCCTTTTTATATGAGTTTTCTTTATCTTACTCTTTTCATATATTTGTAGAATAGTGAGTGTATATTCATCTTAAAGGTGCAAGTTCTAAATCTTCCCTAAATTACTGGTTACACTCTTCAGCATTCCTTTTACTCCAAAATTTGTCTCATTCCTGGTTTGTTCTTCAATTTCTCCGTTATGTTTTTTATTTCTCTACCGTGCATGCTTTTCTAAGGCAATTTTACACTGTCGGTTACAATTTTTTCTCTAACACCTTTCCAAATTTCTGGACTCATTCTTCTTTCTTCAGAATATTTAATCATTGTTGATTTATTTTAGAATATCACAATTTCTGTACATTTTAAATTTTTTATGTATCATTCAATTCAAAATATGTTATGTATGCCTCTTTCAACTGGGTTCTTTTGAGATTAACATATTATGAGTATTAGTAGCCACAGACGTAAATATTGTAGTCTATGTTTTCCTACAATAGCCACAGACGTAAATATTGTCGTAGCCTATGTTTCCTATTTTAGCTGCAGACGTAAGTTTTGTTTAGCTTATGTTTTCCAACTGTAGATCTTTTTTTGGTATTCAGGAATGCTACATGTTCGCTAAACCATTATTTAATCCAGAAAATGTCTAAAATGTTCACTTATTCAAGTGTATGTTAGATTCAACATAGAATATCGATCAAGAAATTTCTTTTCACTCTAGCTGCCTACTGTTCTGGGTCATTCACCTGTGCCTTCCCGTGGAAAAAGATTCTGTAAAATTGTACATACTATGTGAAAGTAGAGTGATATTTTCCATTGGTAGGTGAGGTGTCCGTTAGGGGATATAACCTTCTTTATTTTTTGGTGGGAATGACCAACAGTCGCGTGGGTACATGCACACAAGAAGACTAGTATTATTGGTTAAATGTATAGAATTGTATAAAATGCAATGTTTTCTTAGTCAGGAAGAGATTCGACAGACCCTACACTTCTCGAGAGAATCAAGTTTTTTATTAGATACAGAGAGACATTTCTAGAAAATGCATACTCCTTTGTGAAATACACACTTTTGTTGTTTTTTAGACTGAATAAAGATTGTTTTATTTTGTCACACATTGCCCAGTTTCTTTCATTTATTCAAACTCAGTCAGAGTCAAAGAGCTCAGATTTTTCTCCGTAGTACATTTTCAACAAGATTTACAAAAAAAATCGAATCGTTTTCTGTATATGAAAAATAGAAAAGGGAGGGAGGCGAGTATAATACGGTATGTAATAAACGATATTAGGTAATAAACACATATTCGGATATGTAACCACTCAGAATGAACATAGTTACAACTACATTAATGTAAACAGACACATTACAAATTTTTTCAAACAAAAACGTGCAAATAAAGTTGTATTTATTATCGTTTATCACATCACTGACGTTAATTATCTATATATATATAGACAGACGAAATGTGTGTTCGTTTGCACCCTAACTCCTCCGAGCCTATTGGGCCAATCTCAACCAAAATTTGTATGTAAACACCACGAACTATGGGGAATGTCCTAAGGGGGTCAAACTGAACTTAACCCTATTTCTATTTTGTAAAGCCAGTAGGTTAATTACTCCCAGCCTATTGAGTCAATCTCAAACAATCTTGGTAGGTTGACGCTTTAGACAATGTTGAATGTTCTAAAAGTATCCAAGGTCAAAGTAAAAAGTTGCTGGATTGTTTCTCAAACAACCATGCTTTTTTCATGGTCAATGAGATGTAGGGTATTCAAGGGTGGGATCACCTCAAATTCTTTATTTGTTGGTGGCTGGAAGCAAATTACAAATGTTGTTTATGAAGAAGCCTTGTTATAATTTTAAAATTTTGAGATAAAGTTTATGTTCAAGTTATTACTTTGAAATATATGATTGCTGTTAAACTTACATTGTTTTATTTAGGTTTAAACATTCCCCATCAGTTGATGGGTATTTCGGCTTGTATTTTATAAGAAGTACTTCTTCCCTAGCTAGTCATGCTCAGTCTGATTGGCCGACACTTCGATTTCCATTGGAGGAAGGCTCTGCAAAGTACGTCGAGGTTAGTTTTAGACCACATGTCTTTATACACTTTCCACGGACTCTTCATTATACATATTCGTTTAAAATCAAACGTACAGAAGTCCATTGGAGTTACATCAGGAAACTTCACAGGCATGTGTTAAAAGGGATTGCTGTGATTTCACTTTATTTAGTCACATTTCTCATGAAAACAGTCGCTGGTTTCAAGTTGTGGCTGGAAGCTTGTTTTGTTTAGGTTTGTAAGCCTTAATTCATAAATTTCAAATACTTGTTTATTATATTGTTAACAGTACTAGGAGATATGCTCAGCTCCGTCATAATGACTTTATGGGTCGGAGGGTTCTCTTTTGTAACCATATCCTTCACTTTGCTCCAGATTGGGTTAAAGTGCGGTGCCAGAGCCCGTTGCTTTCCTGAGCTCTACTGTTCGGCTGCGCTGTTTACATCATTAGAGAAGATAAAAGTTGAAATGCTTTCTATCTGAAATGCTATAGTTTGTTGTGAAACGCTTAGCAGATATTTAGTGTTTTTGTTGCATCATAATGTGAATTATAGAAAACACTTATTTTTCTCGAGAACTTTTCAGTGGGTTTACTTTTATTCAAGTGAACTTCACGTTTGTGAATGTAAACTATTGTCATTTAATGTACATTATTCAGTCATTTGTCAAAATGCAAAGTATACGCATTAGAAAAATTTTCAAAATGACATTTAAATTATATTTTTCAATTAAATATGGCATCATAAAGTCCATTAAGCTTCAATGGATTCTCAGAAACTGATAGACCAATTCGTTTTTGTTGAAAAACATTATTTGTGACCTAACGTATATAAGAAACAAAAGTTAAAAACAAACAAACAAATAAAGATTCAGATTTGTATTTCCTCTAAAGGTAGCACAAAAGGATCAAGTGACCTTCACAGATTTGGTGAGACCACTGATTGCCCGCTGCGTGACTGACGTAGAAAAAGCAAGGTAACGTATATCTGGAGTGTGAAACAATTATTGCTTTGTTATAAACATTTTTCCATCAATTTCTGAATATAGAAACATTGAAAAAGCTGATCAGTAAAGTTCTGATACGTGTCCTCTACTGTGGTAAAAGTATATGATATGGTAATATGGATAACATTTTGCATTTGAAATTCTTGCTATTAGTACACAAAACTGAGTTGATTTCAATGCTTCTGATCACCATGTTGCTGTGTGGTTTTAGAATAGGCCTTTTATAGCTGTAAATACCTCATATTCTAACCTCCTCTGTACGGTAAGCCCAGGTATATCGAACTAAAATATGGGGGTTTGATCCCCGCGGCAAATACACTGCACTGTACAGTTCTGCAATTAAACAAATGAAGCTCTAAGGCTCATCCGTTATGTAAGACTTTGTGTAATTTTCAATTTGTTTTATTTTATTAAGAAAGTAAATTATATCCGAATAATAAGAAATGAAACACATCACTGTTTTTAAGAAAAATTATCCCCCCCCCCCCTCTCAAATGGTCAACGGAAAGTTTGTGGACTTTCAACGCTAAAATCTGGGATTCGGTTCCCCGCAGTGAGAGGGTGTAGATAACCAATTGTAAAGCTTTATGTTAAAAACAAACTGACAAAAAACATAAATAGATGTAAAAATTAATCTGCTTTTTGTTTATTTCTACTCGCTTTCGCCGTTAAGACAGTTATTACCTAATCAATAGTGTTGCAACAATTTATTACATTTTTATCAACCACAGGTGCAAAGTATTCAGAAACTTGAATATGTTGAATAACACAAAATAATCATATTTGAAAAATATTTTATGAATTTGTATTATTCTGAGTAAACTATTTTTAATCTTCATAGTTTTTGCTTAGATATCTTTTATTGAAAAAAGTTTGAAATTTTAAAAAGCTAAATATATATAATTCAAAAATTAGATAATTGTAAGCTTCCACGAAAAACGAGCCCCCCCCCCGGGAAGTTTACGGACCCACAATGCCCAACTTCCGAGCCCCACCAGTGGCACAGCGGTATGTCTGCGGGCTTACAAC